CAGGAAGAATCCCCACAGCTCTTCTTCTAGAGGTGCTGATTACTGAAGCAAAGACATAAGAGGGTTTATGGCATCTCCTTTGGCACACGTGAGAAACACAGGTGAGTAGCAACACCCTAGCAGATTCCTAGTGAGAAGGGAATGTAAAAAATCTTTGAATACTGAGTGTACCAAAGCAACTAAAGGGTAGAGCTTTTAACTTGTGTGTTAAAGAACACTCGTGTTAAATCTCCTACAGGTTGTCAAACTGGAGTTTGACAAACTAGGTTACAGTGTTACACTAAGGCCCAAAATAAGCAGATAAGCCATTCTGTGTCATCCTCTGTTCTCCATTCTCAGTCCTGAGCAGCAAAGTCAAGCTCTACACCCAAGGGCCTCATTCCATCTGTGAAGGTGAAGCATTTAAGAAAGCCAGGCACAGCTAGCAAATGGTTGCCAATGCAATTAGAATGATCTTACTGCAAAATACTGAACCTTTTCAAAGGGACTTTGAGGTAAGATGGAGAGCCTTCTGCATCAAGAATAGATAGGACAGAATATGCTACTGACTTCACAAACATTTACTGCCCTCCTGTGAAATAAATAGATGCACTGGAAACCAGAGATATAACACTGTCCACAAATGCATAGGAACTTGCTAAGCATTGCCTTGGAGTATGAGATGATACAATAGAATTGACAACGTTGTTGCATTTTTCATGGCTATTTATCACCCTTAACATCATAAGAATAAACTAGTAATGAAGCCAGAAGACATATCTTTTGGCTATGTTTTATTTGTAACCTACAAGGAAATCTACCACAAACACACACTTCCTCATCACCTTAGGGAAAACAGCTAGTCACAGCTATTGTGCAAGGCAGGTAGGTTTTTTGAAATAGGAAACAGATGAAGAACACCCCGCCGCACATTTTTATGTATCAAATAATGTGACAAAAGCAGGTCTGCAGAGGGAATAAAAAACGTTTTTATAGAGTCAGTCTCTCCTCAGGGATACCTTTGTGAGAGATGGACAGACTCTCCTTCAGACCTTCCTTTTAACCAGGGTAAAGAAAAAGACAGAGGGAAAAGTTACAGAAGGGACAGATGCAAGCTGGAGGGCAGGGTGAATGCAGAGTGCTGCATGGGTAAGCAGGCGAACTCACTAGGGACTGGGGATGGCATGCAGTGTTATCTAAACTGGGAACACGAACACAGAGACAAATTCAGGTTGGCAATGTTAATTATCTTGTATGCAATGGAAAGTTAGGGAAATAAATGAGGACACAAACAGAAACATAAAGATTTATTAAATTATAATTTGGGGCTATTTGGAAACAGTTGGAAACAAACCTCAGATTTGGCAGTACGGCCAGTGTTCCCACACACGCACTGCAAGAATCTGAAAGAACAGTCCCTGCAAAGGAGGAGTCGGTGTCCACTTACCTTGTTTCTGAGGTTGACATTGGCATTTCTTTTCAGAAGATAGCTAACAATCCTGTTGTTTCCCTGTTTGCATGCACAAATTAATGGAGTGTCTCCACCAAAGCTGTCCTGGATGTTGAGATAGTTGCTGTTGCGCTCCAAAAGGAGCTGAACTTCATTGAAATCGTTATTATAAGCTGCCTGACAAATTGGCTAAAGAGAGAAGATAATATTCATCAGCACACGTTTCACTAAGACATCCATACATCCCATTCTGACTTACTACTTGCACATCTTAAGACACTGCCAAGTGCTTCTGACAGAGGTTGTAGTTCTAGGTGACTTCCAGAAGATGGTGGTAAGCGATACTCCTGCAGCTGCCACACAGCAGCTCTCAACCCTCAGCCTGACAAGTCACAGACCTCGCGCAGTGGAATAAACTTTCTGTTCCTTTTGGAAGGTGTGTCTATAACCCGAGAAATAACTCTGGTTCATTTGCAGCTGTTAAAAAAATGGCTTCCAACCTCATAGGAGTTGGTCACTGTATTAAGCAGCAAGCACTGAGAACCTCACGCCTCTCTAAGTTTACAACAGGCTTTGCCTTTGAATGAGCACTGCTGAACAAGAGGTACCACTTCTGACTCCTTGGTTCCCAGAACAGAATCACACTTCAGGTGAACAACAAAATCCCTACAATGTTTCTCTCCTAGGGCTTGAAGTTAAACTTCATACCTAAAAAATACATGCATGTATGCCCACAACTCAGATCCTGCTTAGCTTTTGAGAACTGCTTGCTGCTCATGTCTCTGCTCAGTACTTCCACACACCCTTGACCTAACCTGCAATTCCTTCCCTCTCCAGCAGCAAGAACTCAGACTAAGAAGAGGCTGAGAATGACAGGAGTACTGTGAGTTTCTAATGGCCTAATAGAGGCAGAAAATAACAGTGGGATGTGTGGTGGACTGGTAGCATTTCAAGTTCTTCTGTCAAAAAGAGAATAAATTTCTTTCTTTTCTTCTGTCTTTGATACTGAAGTTGTTATTCACTGTTTTCCAAGACACGCATTTTCTTTAAATATTATCTGCAGTTATTCCTTCCAGTCCTCCTTTTATCACATCCTAAATACACTACATGAACAAGATCTAGCCCAGAACTCTGAGCCCTTTCCTCACTCCCCCTGCGGTTAGCTTTTTTTTCCTCCCCGTATTAAAAAGATTCATCTTATTTACACTTTTGCTTCAGATAAATGTTGATCTACAACACAAGTTTACCTCCAGCATCACTGCTGCTTAGTCTTCTTGACAAATGCATGAGAAGTGACTTTCCTTTCTAAAGAGAGTATTTACATGCTTACCAGACCTTGCACCACTTCTTGTTTATTTTTATTATATCAGACAAAAATCTACAAAGAATACACGCAATATTTTAAATTTGCACATCTGTCTGTATTCTTATGAAAGCCTACGTATGCCATTTGCTGTTATACACTTCTCCAGAACCAGAATCATTTTAATGATTTTGAGGAGAAACCCCACTTTTAAATCTCTTTTGGTGTAAGTAACCTGCACACCAGTGCCATGATCAGTTTGCCCTAGAACCTCGCTCTCTGTCATGTTGGTGTCTAGTACAGTATCTTCATGTCCAGGAAAGAGAAGATCAAATGGAGTCTGCCTACTATTCTTGCTCTTAAGTATTGCTTAGCTTATTTAAAGATGCCGGAGATTTGCTGTTTGGTTAAACACCTGCTCAAATCCCAGCAATTTACCATGCAACTTTACTCCTTTCTAGTTTGATTCTTGCTAGTTCAGCAGCTTGTGAGATCAAGTTATATGCTTTTGTGCTTTTCTTTCTGTACTGCCTCAAAGTGTTACTTGCTAGGCCATTAAGCCCAAGGCATTTCTGACTGATACTCTCATTGACCTGTGGGATCTTTTTCTAAACCTTACACTACTGTTGAATCCAGTTCTAGAGCCATGAATAATGATGGAGCACTTACCACTCCCTAAGAGACTGAAGTCATTCACAGAGACTGGTACACAAGAGTCACCTGTGCTCTTTTACCTTCCGAAACAGGCTTCTCTCAGAAAACATCCAGGGCACAGAGAATATAAGGAAGCAATTTTCATCCATTCCAACAGCTAATACATGACTAATTGCCATACTTAAAGTATTATTATTGTTGTTGTTGTTGTTGTTGTTGTTGTTGTTGTTATTATTATTCCACTGCAGTGGAGGTTCTTTGTAGAATTGATTCTTTCATGCATTCATATGTTCCATTCATATTAAAATAAACCCAAACAACAACAACAGCAACAGCAAACTCAAACCCAAACTCAACTTTTTTCCTGGTTTTATGAGATTTTATTGAGGCCCACTCTGCTGGTTTGCATTCTAGAAAATGCCTCTTTTAGTCAAAGAAAGGTGAAAAGTCCCAAAGGTCAGACTTGTAATATACCTCCCAAATTGACAAGCACAACTCCATGACTAGAGGAGCAAACATAGCAGCAGAATATTTAAGTAAGGGAACAAAGCAATCCAAACAACTATAAGCTCATTATTTTTATATCATTAACAACAGAAGTTCAGAAAAAAAATGTGTTAGGAAAGAATAAACATAAGAAAATTTACAAATAGGTGGTAATCAGACACCTGTGTAGGAAAGGCATCAGAAACAGCAACCAGTGGTAAACATTGTATTAGGCAGTCTTTCTCACAGAAAGAGAGCTGTTATAAAAGGTACTTTACTGGGGTAGTTGGATAGAGTTTTTGTCACCTGGGTCCAAAAATGAGATCAGACTATGGCAGGAGTGTAAAACCTCTACACAACTGAGGAATATGAAGAGCCTGAAGAAAGACTGATTTGCTGTAAGTGTTCCAAAATAAATTAAAGGGTAAGTATTAGAGAAGAAGAGCCAATTAATTTCAAGGAACAAGGTGAAAAAGGCAATATATCTGGCCAAGAATTTTAGCGTGAAAATTAGAAAGGGATTTCAAGCCACATACAGAGTAAAGCTGAAAACCAGGCTTCCAGTAACATCAGAACAGGCACAAAGCCTGACTGGCTCCAGGATGGAGCTTAAGAAGTGTGCAAGGATTTCTGCAGTTGTGAAGCCTCTGCCACAAACTCCTCTTCCATCTTTCATTTTTCTGGGTTGCCACTCTGGCAGCTATATCTAAATTAGGACTAACTGTGCTTAAGAATGTTTTAAACGGTTCTCCAAACTCTGCTCAGAAGACAAAGAATAGAGTTTCTTACATAAAGTTAGACAGCACCTGTCTGGAATATCAGCAGTGAGGCCAAATATAGAATTAGGACAATGTTATATACAAGCAGTAGAATCCATCCAAAACTCAAGAAAACATATTTCCTTTATGTCTACAGAAAAGCACAGAAGCTAAAAGTCTGGAAAACCTCACTTAGTTTTCTACAGAAGCAATGATGTGGCTTAACAACCAGCTTCTGATTCATGTCATGGTTATTACATTATTGTCATCCACTCATCATTCACAAGAGGGAAATAAGCCTATGAGATAGGTACTCAGAATAACTGAGCTTCACATACAAGAAGGAAGCAATATTAGAAGAATCCAAAGTTCACATCTCAGACTCGGGCTCAGCTGTGGAGAAGAGCAGGACAGTGAGTGCAGAAGACTCACGGCAGTGTAGAACAGCCAGGACAACCCCTGCAGCTTCCCTCTTCAGAGATGCACTGGCAACCAGAGCACAGACAGATGCCTATGGCATCTCTTTTAGGCACGTGTGAGAAACAAAGGCCAGTGCTCCCACAAGAAAAAACTCTGAAGAAAGCATTGGTGGGAACTGAGCTCACAACTTCTGGGGGTGCTGGCAGTCCATGACACTGAATGGTTACTCTCACCTACGCCACATTCTTTATAAACCCCATTGTCCTGACCGCCTCAGAGAACTCAGAACAGACCTAGCCCACCTCCACAACGTAGCAGGGCAGACCTGGCAAGGCACATCAAACATTACACCCAATACAAACATGACCTCTAGGTCTGAAGGGAGGGGGAGCAGGACCAAATATTCCAGCTCAGGTAAAGAGGAAGCGAGCTCCTCTTTGAACTATCTGGCAGCAAAGCCCTTCACCTCTGCTCTCATTCACACTTCTGCAGCACCACCTAACATTCAGACAAGATGCACATGATGAACCTGACATCATAACACTGTACAAAACATACAACGAAGAGAGGGAAAACAATCACAACACCAAACTCCTTCTACCCTCACCAGTGGTCCCTGCCACAGCATCAGGGCTAACTATGAACCAGAGCACATGGCTCTGCCCAACTGAAGAAGGCAAAGGGCAGACACTAGGGCCTGGAAATTGATTAGATATGCCAATGACTGAGTGACGCTCACCCAAGTCAGGTGTTCAAAGGAAATCTGAACATGCAGTTTTAAAGCAAAACCTCTGTAGTTAGATTAGAATCTCTCTTTCTATAATACTACTTCTCCTACAAGCCCTTCAGAAGAGGATTTCCTTGTTCAGTATCTGAGGCTTTGGGAAAGGTGAGAAGTAGTCATAGGACAGGCAAGGGTTGTCATGGCTGAGATCACTCAGTACAAGATCACCAGATAAAGGGTGCAAGAAAAGCAAAAAAACCCAAACCTTTCACTGTCAGGAAGAAGGACAATACCTCTACACAACTGATTTTTATTTTTTTTTTTTAATCAATTGTGGGCCATATGATTCAAAACAGGACCTAGTAGTTTGCTCAAATCCAGATGAACTGCTACATCTGAATTTGTCTCCTTCTCTTCAGAGCTTCTTGCATCTCCCTCTGCTTAGCTTTGCTGAGGTAGTGATAAACCCTGAGCAATTCAGCAAGTTCTACCACATATCAAACAAAGGTTGAAGGCACAGCACTACAGACAAAGCATTCAGCCAATAGAAAGGAGGCTAAGGTAAAGCCAGTCTTGCAACTGGGAGAGCAATTTCAGATTATAATTGCTTCCTCCTTTGAGAATTGCAGGGGATTGCCTAAGTTACAACAATGCTTTGCAGTTGTTTAGAAAAAAAGGAGTTACTTCGTAAAGTCCAGATATTCTGAACCAATCCATAGTCCAGTGCACTACAATTCATCCAAAGGCATACTACTAACTAATCAGGAAAGTCTAAGTCATGAGGAATGAACTAGTAGCCAATCCATACTTCTCAGAAAAGGGAACTTACACTTTCTTATTTGCAATTCTCTACATTTTTAGCCTGTATAAATGAACCATACTTTACCCAAAAAACTATATCTGACTCAAAATTTTTGAAGGAAGAGAACTAATGCATATGAAAATATTAACTAATAAGCATTCTCTAAACACAACTTTAATTAAGCTAGATGACACTGGTTTCTTGTACAATACTATCTCAGAGTAGTAGATCTGGAGAGACAAATCCTTTCAGAATAAAATGCAGTCTACCTAGCCCATCACTTTATGAATGCACAGATTCAAACTCCTTGTAATACTGAAAGAGGAGAAGATATTTTATTTCATTGAATCGTCTTTTAAAAATAAAAGGGTGGCTTTCAGCATAGAAATGTAATACTTTAAAGGAACAACTATGTAATGCTGTCTCCAGAAAAAGAAACAGCATTGCAATACATTGTATTCACAGTCTAAAAGGATGAAAATCTTCATTTGTTTCCAAGTGTACAAATGGGAAGTTTATATAATAATGAGTATGTTTAGGTAGCATTTATGCTAAAATCCAGGGGTATGCTAAATAGACCATGGTCTGGGGACAAACGCATAAAGATAAGAGCTAAAAAAAATCCCATTCCTAGAACAATTGGGGGGAGGGGGTGTTTTCCTTGGGCATTATCTTTATTATCTATATTTAACATAAGCCAATGATTTGTTTGCAGTTTGCAAAGTTGTTTGTTGTTTGCACTATGCTCAGAAGCATTCTGATCTCAACTCAGAACAACAAAAAAATCTTGAACACATACTTTCTCTGTGAAGTCACAATAATTACACTGGATATTGCATTATCTTTACTCCTACAAACAGTACTTCTGTCAATCTGTAATAGCCGAAGTATAGCCTTTCCAAAGGAAAAGAACTGTGTATGGAAGGCTGTGAACCGAACAAACCAAACTCAGTGAATATCCATATCTTCAATAGCATCAGTTACTGTGCAGAAAATGGTCACGTACCTCTGAATAGAGTATCCCCATGCCTATTCTTCACTGCTTCAGTTCGTTCTTGTTCACCAGCCCAACAAGCTAACCTCACTTGAAATGCTCTTGAACTTGTTTGAATCTGGTTAATATTTAACTTAACAGTATCACTCTTTCTTAAGCTGCATTTCCTTTAAGTGCTTTCTACTTGGTAGCATGAAACAATTTCCTTCAGAAACCCAACTCAGGGAGGTAAACATGAGAACAGCAGCTTACGGGAGACTGACGGAACAAGTTACAACAGAGAAGCATTTTCCTATGTCATTTTTGCAATGACAGCCTCCAGTTGCCTAAAAAGGAAAGTAGCAAAACAGGCTGAGGAGGGGAGGAGGGAGAGAGGAAGAAAGTTTCACAAGTGAAGAAAGGGAGGAGGAAAAAGAGAAAAAAGAAAAAAAAAGCATGAAACCTAAAACTTAAAACAAGTAACTATGAATGGTAGCTAGTTTGCCACCCAAGCTACTTCTGACTAAAACACATTTGAAACACTCTGTAGTAACACCTGAAGATGCCTACTGGGAAAAGGGAAGCCACTAGATCCCATACCTTTAATGAGAGTTCCCAGTATAATTAGCTTCAGTCTCTTATTAAATAGGCCAGCCCCTTTCATTACATTTTTCTCAGTCTTCTCTTCCTAGACCAGCCCAAACAATGAATATGATTCATGTTTAACCTGATAATTTTATATGTTAATTGCATTAGAGCTTCCTTGGAAAGAGAATTATTGTTGATGTCTCCATTCCCTTTGCGTGTTCATGGCTCTGAGGATAAGATGCTGATAGTATTTCTCTACTACCATCTTTCTGAGCAGGCATGCATATTTCAAGAGTCTGCAGACACCCCAAAATATCTTTTCCCTTTGTAGTTTTGTGTTGGTGTTGTCAACCCACCACAAATTTAAATTCACATTTTCTGTATTTCAAGAATATCTTTAAACAAGTTTTAAAATATATGCATGTAACTGTCCATCTTAAATCCAAGCCCTCTGCCTTACATTTGAGAACTTTTATTTCCACATAATTTTCATATTTATTCTCCAGTGAGGTGGAGGACCATATAAAATCAATTATACAGACTCTGTCCTTCTATGATTGAAGTAGTATAGCATCACTGACTGTAGTGTTAGTTTGCTGGCACCAGTTCTAACCCTTTCAATGGCTGTTTACCTGAAGAAAATCAGGTTGGGTTGTAACAGAAACGTACCCTACACCTACCTGTGACAACGTCACTGGGATACTCCCAATAGATTGATCTTTCAGCATGCGGTGAATATTCTGTTGGCCTAAAGTCATGGAGGAGTGAGTAACACCTCAAAGGTGAAAAAGTATTCCTCGCCACTATTTCTTCACATCCAAATCCTAAGGAATGGACACCCTCCTACATCCACTGGCCTGATTGTTGGAATTTATGAACTACAACTTGTTGAAAGAACCTCAAATCACTCAGCTGTTACATATAACAACTTAATAGTTTACTTAACACCAATATATAAATGCATAGTAATATGGAAAAGTATTTAAAACAAACAAGCAAACAAACAAACAAACCCAAAACCACAAAAAACCACAAAAAAAACCCCTCCTCCACAAAGCACAGCAATAGCTTCAGGCACCACCTTTCCCAAGATAGTGTAAACTACCATTGAATCCAGCATCACATCTCAGGCCTTCTTGAAAATCACTTGAGTGACTACTTTGGTCAGAGCTCCAGCTGGGGAACAGATAAGCAGCCTAGCCATGATGAAGTATGAGACTCATGCAAATTTGTGTAGTCATAGGTTCATTTTGGCTTCACATATTGCTTTAGTGTTCTTTACCATGCTTGTAAAGGAGGATTTGAATTCTGAACATTTTAATCGTTTTTGTTGAATAATTCTTTTTTCTCCAAAAGGTGCCAAGACTCAACGCATGGGCAAACTGTCACCTACCCAGTCTGTGTAGGCAATGTGTTTCTTACTTCCTGAAAGAATTTAACAACATTTCAAAAGTTTCATGTGAGCCAGAAGTAAACTAAGAGTTTGTCAGAAGGGCCTTCACCAGAGAAAGAATAAGGGCAACTCATCTTTAAAATTAAATACCAATTAAACTTCCGGACAGCACATTCAATAAAAGACATGGAAGATCATTTTTCTCTTTAATTTCCAACCACTATAGATGATATTGCTCCAAATGGCATGAGTTACACTACCCTGAGGAAAGAAATTTGTGGCCTGCTGGAGTTGTGTGTGCAGAGCAGTCCTCAGAAACCTGTATTCCCAAGAAATGCAGTCCTGGCATGGCCAGTGTCTGGACAACAGGAACGTCCACCCCTTACACTTGCCTCAGAAGACTGTTAGCTACTTGGACCACATCCTTGTAGTACTGCAACAGTCCCTTGCACCTCTGCTTCAGGACAGGATTAACTCAACAGCCTCACTGAGCAGAAAGAAGCCCCTCAATGGCACAGAACGGAGCCTGTATTTTATAACACTTTCAGCCAAACTCAGTGAACCACTGGTGTCACATGAAAAATGCAGGACTTCCCAGCCCTCCCCTTGCCTCCTGATGCTTATATGGTCACTACTGGGTTACTGCTGTTACAGCCCACTCTGTGGCTAAGCTCCAGCAGCTCATCGTTCATACAGGCTGATCCTGTCTTGCCCAAGATCCTGTTCCCTATAATCAGTTCACGGACAGTACTGCACAACGTGGAACACAACAGTCCTGTGGGGCTGTACATCTGCACAAACCTGCTGACACACGTATGCATTTTCACGATCCGTGTTATCCTATACGGTAACTCTCAACTTAAATTGGCCAAGTAGCATAGTGACTGGGCGGTGCCTCAGCAGACTGAAGCATTAGATAAACAGCTAGCTTCTTTCCCACACATGCCTACTCATACAACAGGTAATCATCTGGCAAATGCAGGGACAAAATTGATTAGAACCACAGAAGTACTTGGGAAGAGGAATAGGGTTTCAAGACAAAAGGAAGAGCATATACAGACCTTTTCCTTAAATGAACACTACTTTTATATTTTATGGGGTTTGCAAAGGAGAAAGGAACACATGTATTCCCCCTTGTCCTCCCCCTCCAAGCCTGCAAATCATCAGGGATGTGTTTAGAGACACAGGATACCCTGGGGTTACCTAAGAGAGAGTTGGCAGACTCAAGTATTTTAAGACATACTTGGGCTCTTAATGCTACGTGCAGCTCTAGGCCAGACCACCTTTTGTTGCAGCACTCTCAAAACAGAAAACTTTCTGTCTCAGCTGGCATGGTTCTCTACGGACAGCACATCCTGGGAAATTTCTGTATACCTTTCAGGTTTTGTGTTTCCTATGCTCTTTTTATATACATTGTCTATTTGCCCTGTTCAGGTGGGTTTGCCTTTCTTTTGCTCTTCACTTGATTCCTAGTAACAATATCAGAAACAATATCATACATCCTATATGCCAGCATGAGGTGAAACTAGGTGCAATGTTGCAGATCATTCCAGGCTGACAGTTCTATAAAACAAAAAACTGTATTTTGATGTTAGCTGGGAATAGAGTAGAGCAAAGTCTTCTGTATCCCTCACTAATCAGGGGTATCAAACTTGCCAAGCTGTAATGTTTTTCAATAAGTAATCATTTATTTAGCTTTTCCACAAACTGCACTCTACTTCTTATAAAGCAGAATTGTTTCTGTGGTGACTCTCAGATTCTGTTTACTAACAAAGACTTACTTCTTTCCATTTGCCCACACAAGACAGCAGATGATTAGCACCCACATTCCAGACAATTTGCTGCACCAGGGCACCAGGCCAGTTTCAGTGAGGACTGAGCCCCCAGGATGACTACAATCAATTCAGCAGTTAGGCAGAGGTCTCCAAACATACTGTGTTTTCACAGAATACATGGAAATGGCTTGGAAGAAGCAAGAAATCTTGTTAGCATACTCTCTGAGTCAAAGTCTACACAACGTTTTCAAACTTAATTCAATACCTGAGAATCCCTACAGGAGCAGGCTAATTCAGAGCAAACTGGTCTTTGTGTGTTGTCATGTTCACTGAACAGCAGATTTAAGAATGTGTGTATGATGCTAAATACATACCTTTCAAATCACTTGTATTTTATTCTAAGATTACTTAACAAAGGAGAATTGTTCCTGAGCAATCTGCAAACAGCAGTTCAGAAAACAAGTTACAGGTGTGAAACCAGTGACCATGCCTGCTTCCATACAAATCACCACAGCAGAGACCATGTTCATAGGTGGGAAGTGTCAAGAAAAGTTGGACTCTTCCTCCTCTTCATCCCAAAATAATGTGGTCACAGCACTCCTCAAGACAGGCAGCAGTACAGGTGAAGATCTGTCACAGCCTCAGGGTGCAAGAATACCCCACCCCATCCCCCCCCTCCCCCATCTCTGCTAAATATCCTAACTACAGGTTAGATGCCTCTTTACCTCTCCTGCTCCATGGTGCAATTTGGTCTTTCAGAATGTCATGCAATGGTGCTGTTTAACATAAAATAACTCCACTCCTTAAATATTGCCAAATCAGCACTTAAACATGTTTTCTTATGCATGCAGACATCACACAGCAATCTACTGCTGCTCATAAGTGAATTTTTATTTCCTTTTATTGGCAAAGGTCTCTGCCAGTGAATCAGTCCGCTAGTGGAGACAGACTAGGAACTGCAGCAGAAGACACAAGCAAGGCAGTCAAAGCAGAGGTAAGTACATATGTATTCATGGTCTCTTTCTCTGTTGCCTGTCTCCATAAACATGTGCAGTCTTGCTTTTGTGCAGTTGCTTCTCAGAGTGGACACCCTGCATCCTTTCTGATCTGTAGCCTGATGCTATGCATCAAAGTGCATGTTTGCTAAGGTTGAGGAGAGGAAGAAGTCTTTGACCTGCAAAAATGGGAAAAAGGAGTGACTGATGGTTTCATTTTATTTTAGCTGTTGGGGTTTTTCTCTAAGGATGTCACTATGGATGCATGAATGTCTCAATATTGAAAGTGTGTGTAGAAGTTGGACGTTGTGCTCTCATAGTTCCAAATGCATTTAAGCTTTCCTTGTAAGTTAACCAGGAGATTCTGACATCTGCTAGCCACATTAACTGCCCTGGTGCCTTTCTGTCCCACTATAGTGTATGTGAAAAAAACATTATGACTCTTTCGAGTACACTGATGAATTTCATAGAATCATAAATTGGTTAGGTTGGAAGGGACCTTAAAGATCATCTAGTTCCAACCCCCCTGCTGCAGGCAGGGACACCCTCAACTAGACCACGTTGCCCAAAGCCTCATCCAACCTGGTCTTAAACAC